GACCCCTGCAGTAATTAGTGAGATTAAATCAGAATATTATAATATTTTTGTTTAAATTTGTTTTGTGTAACTCAAAACTGTGGACCTATGAGCAGCTTGGTGCATAAAGAGTGTAGAATAAAGTACTTAAAAAGCCATCAAACAGCAATGGAGCATGGTTTTAGTGAGAACAAGGCTATCAAAAGGGAAAAAGTAAATATTTTCAGAAATTAACAGTCAACTTTTTTATACTTTAAAATAAGATATCAAGATTAATTCTAAAGTATCTAACATCTGAAGAAAATATTTAAGGTAGAAATATGTAAGAGTAAAATGTGGCTAAATAATAACCAATTTCAGGAAATGGAAAATTTCACTGTTCATTTGTAATACATTACCAAGTATCTAACATCTAAAGGAAATATTTAAAACAAATAAAAGTACCTGTCCCTAGTGATGGGAAAAGGTTAAGTTACTTTATCAATTTAAATTATTTCATGGACTTTAAAAAGGTTAATTGTGTTGCACTCCTGCTTTCACCGAGAGCTGAAGCTATGAGCTACTTATACCGCCCACTTCAAAAAGTAATTGTTGAGCATATCATTCATGCTAAGAGCCATTCAACAATAACATACGGTAAATCTACATTTTTATTCTTTAAGTTATGTCACATTTTGAAATGTAAATGATAGTGTGATTAATTCCTAACAGTTTAGTGTAGAATTTCTTACTTGTAAAGTAAAATGTGGCATCAACATTATTCATGCATGTTCTCCTGTCATTTCAAAAGTGAATGTTGAGTTTTGCCTGCATGTACCATCTTTTCAAACAGTAGACAGACTAATGCTCAGACAGATACCATGGTTTGCAATATGTATAAGATAGAGATGTCTACGATTAAAAAGTGGATAAATAATACAACCAGATGTGGTCCGTAACTGCTGAGAGTTTGATGGCCACCAAGCCATGAGGAGAGAAGGGTTCCATACTGACTGTAATACTTTCACTTGTCAAACAGACCACAAAGCCTTCTGTCGAACTGATGATGAGGTCACTTAAACATTGGTTAAGCCAGAACCATCCAAGTCATTATAGAAGCTGTCCTTAAATTTCAACTAATTACTTAAACATCCATCTGATGTCTTGGAGGGCTAAGATACCCACGTTATATTTCTTATCATTTCCACCATGTTTTTTGTGTAGCCAGTTCTGTAGAGACTCCTACATTCCATGTAGCAAATGTTAAGTGCAGCTGTATTCGTTGTCCATTAAGCTTACCTGTGTTGTTAACAAAAGTTCCATCAGTCTGAGGCTTTGCTTGAGATTCATGAATAAGTAATATTTTTACAGAATAGAGTTGTTAGCTCTATTCCCTCTCCAATTTATCTGGGTTTTGGAGCAGTATGGGTTCCACACTGGAGTAAAAACTTGTAGTTGTTTTAAAAAGGTATTTATCATTACTATATCATTATGTTGTAGTATTTAATCTGATTTTAGGTATTGTGTAAAGTTGTATTTCCTTTTCTATCTGTAAGTGCTGTATAAGTGTTTTGCTGTAGTGGGAATAAATTACATCAGTTACTTGATTGATATGCCATACCTTTTAATGGTTTTTTAAGTTTTAAACTTAGAGACGTCTGAAGGTACAGGGAAGAGGAAAGTGTGTTTTACAGGAATACTACATGTTTTCTAACCCTTATTTATTCCGTTTTTTTCAAAATGTATGCACATATTGTGTGTGTAGTCTTAATACATAATATTGGTCAAGGGAGCCACTAAGCTCCTCTCTCTCCCTAATTACCAACTGAACTGGGTCACTAAAGTAGGATGTCATATGCACTTTCTTGTGGGAAAGTTTTTGTAGTGAGAGTGACCATTAATCACATGGGTAGCACCTGCAGCATAAGAAGAATGTCTTTATTGTTTTTTACATATATAGTGCCATGTTTCTTCAGTATGGAACATAATGATCAGAGAGGTATACTTGAGTGAATTTAGTAAAGATGCCCAATAGATACACTTCTTTTTAACTTTGATTACTCTTTGTTTGAATAAAGATAACTTCACTGTGTTTAATTTGTGTCTGGTCTCTCTAATTTTTTTTTAACTCATCAAGATGGTGAATTCAGGTATTCTCTCTTTAATACATTTTTTTGTCAGGCCTTCTGTTATTCTGTACAACCTACCTGATTACTCTAAGGTAGATTAGTGCACTTGAGAATACCACACGCCTAAAATAATTAATGAATTATGAGTAATAGTGCCAAAAGTGTTGTCAGCATGGATATCTTAAAAATACATCAGACAAATGTAACAATTAAAAAACTAAGTTGACAGATTGTGATGGACAAGCATTAACACAAATAATGAGATGAAAACAAAATACTAAACTGTGATGAAGCACTGATGAAGCTGCAGCGGATTTTGGTTGAAATAAAAGTTTATTTTTAACTGAGGAGTAAAGTATTTTTTTTTGTTCTCTAACTTTATTGTCTGAAAACTTAACGTTAGCCTACAACAATCAATCTTTGTGAGAAAAAAATTAAAAGTGATCTGTATCAAATGGGTTGCCATGTTAGATATAGAAACCTGTAATAACAACAAAAAATGCAAAGTCTAAATACAGTGGGTCAAGAACATAAAAATGGGACTGAAAAGAAATAGATAATTTTTTGTGTGTGTGAAATTATTCATTATACTTTTCCTATTAGATAGATATGTTTTTGTTTGTGGTGAAAAACAAAAGTTTACATTCAAGAATGCCTCGTGCCATACATTAAGCATTATAGAGGCTGTTAGTGGTATTGACAGCATTTTGTTGAATAGTCTAGCGCTTATGATCTCACTGAAAGGTAGAGCGGCAGCAAATGATTACTTAAACCATATTATTTTCCATGTTCACTCAATGATAAACACCTGTAAACAGAGCTTCTGTTTTAGGAAGACAGTGTGCCACTTCATGCTATTACAATACTTAAAGATTGTTTCAGAGAATATGAGGAAGCATTTGGACACCTAAGTTGGTCATGTTAGTCATCAGGTTTAAGTGTTATGGTTGAATATTGAAACTAAATTTTGAAGCATAACAACTTCAACAGTTGAAGAATATTTGGTTGAAAAATAAACGAAAATATCCTTATCTGATGTAAAGTACCTTGTTTCATCAATTCAATTTTTTGTTAATGCTGTATTGTCTACTTATGGAAGACCAATTCTATATTAATAAATTAAATGTAGAAATTAAGAGTTTATTTTATTTTGTTCAACCCCTGCATATGCTTGTGTTTTGGTATGTTTTATACATTTGTGTTTCAGTACTTCATTAATGTTAATGTTGTACTGTTATATTTATTATTGTAGAGGATGATTATAAAAGAAACACATTTAAAATATCTTTAAAACTTTTTGCTGTATAGTGAACTAAATTTATTTATGCAGAGGCATGGAGAATCATTGCTTTTGGTGTACTGAAATACAGATGTGTACAGTAAACTGCAACCAAACTATCTACAGTTATAATACAGTTAAATCTGACTATATACAAGAGATAAATCCAACTCTATACAACATGTATAACAAAATTCATCTACAAGTAATACCCTGAAATGTGTGTGCAATATGCTGAAATACAAGGATGCTGTAAAGAAAAATCCCATATGTGAAATTATTGTCTTGAAATTGCTTTTCCTAAGAGTAACTAAATTTCATAATAGGCACATTGAAAATATCGAATGTTATTTGTGAAAGTTTGTTCAATTTTTTTTTAATATGTATGTGTATAAACTTAACTGTACTGTATGTAATTGAGTTTCTGTATATTTTACTGGTAAATATCTGGATTCCAGTATTTTTATACAATTATTTATTTGTGCATTGCATCTTTTTGTGTTTCACTCTGCTTATTCCTGTTTCAATATGTTCTACATACTTATTATGTTTTACCTTCTCTTATTTCAGTAAATTTTGCCTACACATATTTCAGTATATTGTATCCACACATGTTTTGCTGTACTGTGCCCACATGTGTTTCAGTATATTGTGTCACACAGGTTTTGATATATTGTATACATTCTTATTTTGTTACATTGTGCACACTCATATTTTGGTATTTTGTGCAAGCTCATGTCTCCGTATATTGTATATGCTTGTATTTCCTTATTTTGTATACATTTTTATTTCAGGACTTTGTATATGCTTGTATTTCAGAATTTACTAATACATGTCTCTGATTTTGTATATGTTTGTTTCAACATATTGCACATTTTTATTTATCAGTACAGTGTATCTTTGTATCTCCATGTGTTACATTTATATTTTGTTTAGTTTCAGCATCTAATTTTGCTTATCTTTCAGCAAGTTATGCTTACTTGTATTCTAATACATTGTATTTACTTGTTTCTGTATATTGCATGTTGGTTGTGTATCTGTATATCGTACATGCACATGTTTAACTTTTAGTATACCGTATAAACTCATGTTATGGTATATAGTGTATTCTCATGTCTCAGTATGTTTGTGTACAGTGATGTATGGTATATGTTAGAAAAAGTCAGGTTATGTAAGTTAATAAGTTTTGAAGCATCCATAATTGAGAAAAGTTTAATTAAAACATAATAATGATTTTTATTTTATTTTATTTTTTGTTATAGCATAATAATGAATATTTTATGTTAATAACACTACATTTAACCCAGTTTGAGAAAAAAATTAGAATATATGTCATCCAAAGTGTCTAATGAGTGTCTATCCTAATTTTTATAATATGTTGATGTTTCACTCAAAAAAGCTGTGTTTGTAGTTGAATAATAGATATGTTGTGTTATTTTATTTTTATTGTTTTGATAATTTGTGATTTATTAAGTAAAGAGTAGTCAGCTTAAGGCTGGTAAACTAATTAGTAGGATTTGTAATTTGATTTTTTTATTATCTTTTTCAAGTATTTAGCTTAACATTTTTGAAAGGGTACCTAGCTAACAAACAGAGACAATTATTTTTCTTATTTTCATTTATTTTATCTGTAGATACAAGTTGCCGTGAAGTGTATAAACAAGAAAATGATTCGAAATAGCTCTGCAGAATTCTTGAAGGAAATGAACATTCAGTACACTTTAAATAATGAACATATTGTTCATCTTTATGGTGTTGTTCTTGATTCTCAGCACTTAATGATGGTAGGAAATTAGTATATGTTGTAAGGCATGTGTATATTTGTATCATGAAAAGTCTTAGAAATTTGTAATGTTAACATAGTAACCATGCAAAAAGTTGGAAAGTGTATAAATTTATATTTTTTCAAAAGTTATTCAGCAACCATTTCCAGTAAAAAGGCATGCAGGATTAAAATTAAGTGTCAGTACAATAAACTTTATGCTTACAAATTATGCCAAATACATCATTTGTATCTTCAAATATCTTTTTATCATTTTCACAAGTGATAAATTGAAATCTTGCATTTTATCTCTTTTCAGTACAACTGAGGCCTTGTATGGCCAGGTGGTTAGGGTGCTTGACTTGAAATCTGTGGGTTGCAGGTTTGAATCCCCATCCCACCAGATATGCTCGCCCTTTCAGCTGTGGGGGGTGTTATAATGTGACAGTCAATCCCACTATTCATTGGTAAAAGAGTAGCCCAAGAGTTAGTAGTCTTTCACTGCTAAATTAGGGACAGCTAGTGCAGATAGCCTTCATGTAGCTTTGCACGAAATTCAAAAAACAAACAAAAAAAGAGTACAACTGGGGCAAAGTGTGCATGTCACAACACTTTACAGAATGTTATTCAAAATTTATTTAAACAACTTTTTAGTCAACGTACGTCAATAATCTTGGCATCAAACATTAGTTTATAATTCAGGTTTTTATATTTATCTAAGTTTAATTTCCTAATTTCAAAAGAAATATTTAAGAAGGTTCTCAATCTTTACTTCATTGATTCACAAGTTGTCTGCTGTATGAGTTCTTTGTTATTGATATTATATTTTCCCCAGTTTGACTTTCAGAGTGTCCAAACAATTAAAAACATGAACTACAGGAAACTAAAAGTATAAATCTAAACGTTCTACCCTTTTGATTATCTGAAATATCAAAAATTAATCCACAAAAGAAGTGTATCCCCTCCTTCTCTGTCTTTTTATATTCTTTGCTGATAGTTATTACCAGGTTGATGGGCATGTTTATAATCAATAGTCAATAGAAAGAGCATTTTCTCTTCTGCAGAAATCTTAGAGTGCTGCCATTTAAATTTCCTATGAAAAACCATTAGTTAGCAAAAGTATTTGGTCTTGGCAATTGTAGTTTTTTGCTATGAGTGCTTACAGAATTTTTTAAACCTATTGATAGTTTAGTTAGAAAGCCATCTAAATTTTAGAAGTCTTGGAAATTGTGCTTGACATATTGTTTTTTTGTTTTTTTTTTTTGGTCTAAAATCTATATTTGAAAGTTACATGAATTTTCTTTTGAACAGTTAACTTAGTGCAAACAAGTGATGCCTACCAGCGAGAGTAAAAATCAAGCAAACCATTCACTTTGCTTGTGGTGTTTACAAGAGATGGCTAAGGGGCTCTTGTTGTGATTTTTTGCTTTTGATAAAGTACAATAGTCCAAAGTACAGGCAAGAACACAGTTGTGAAAAAAGATTAACAATTGAAATTGTGAGTATAAAAATACTGAAAATTTTGTAAAATGATGCATTCAAAGAAGAAAAATGGTATTGCTCATTTTATATCACATTTCCAACTTTTTCACTTCACTGTGCTTTAATGATTTTGCTACAGTTAGTGTAAGGGAAGAAAGAGTAACAGGTAAAATATAAACTTTTATCTAGGAAAACTTGTGTACAACATATTTGCAGTGTTTACTAAAACCTTGCCAAATTTTGTGAAGGTACACTTAGTAAATTTAAAGTTATAGTATGTATAGTTTCACATTTACATGATGGGTCAACTTGGCCCACTTTGTACTTAACATGTCAAAATTGAAAATGTATATGAGCATGATTTATTTTTACTAATGAAGATTAGAGTTTGGCAATTAGTGGACTTTGTACTTGATTCGTCATTGGACTAATTAATTACATACAACTAATCAATTATTCTTACATTAGATGGCTTAAAAATGGATTATTCTCATGAGATGGTTAAAAACTATACCTGTAGAAAACAAACCAATGTTCTATCAAAACATTTAGTATCTTTCCCCAAAAATAAAATACTTCATTATGCTTATAAATCGTTGTTTGCCAATTTACTATTAACTTGCTAAATATCAGATTTCAATATATGTGATGGACAGAACACATGTAGTCCACTGTATAGCTTTCTGCTTAACAGCAAACAAACATAATAGTAATATTTTGATTACCCGAATTGTTGAAATAATCAAAAATAATAATAATTAGAAACCTTAATTTCAGTTAGTTGATTATTTTTGCTTGTTATAATCAACAGTTATCGATTAAGCTGAACAAACTTGAATTGATAAAAAAATAAAGAAAAATCTTTTTGGTGGTGTTTGACTACTGTATAGTTGGAATAATCAAAAACTATAGTAATCAGAAAAACTAATTTTGATTAGTTGATTATTTTCATGACTTTAATCCTATGTACATAGGGTTGTTGGACTGAGCCACCAGTAGTATAATGTTTACTATAATTCCAAATTTACAAAGTGTATCTCCCCAAAATTTGGTAAGCTTTTAATTACTATTACAAGTATGTTGTACACAAAACTTCAGAATTTTTAATGAATTCTTTTGACTAAAAACTTGCCTGTGAATTTACAGAGTCAGTCTAATTGACTAGCTTGAGTGAAAAGTAATTTTTGTGCTTAGATTAAAATACCTCTTTTCATCTTACAAATTATGCCAAATACATCATTTGTATCTTCAAATATCTTTTTATCATTTTCAGAAGTGATAAATTTAAATCTTGTATTTTATCTCTTTCAGTACAACTGAGGCCTGGTATGGCCAGGTGGTTATATTAGTTGGAAAGTCTGTTAAAAGATGCTTTGCAAAGTCATATACCAAGGTTTAGAATTTTATTGGATAGTCAACATGGTTTCACTGAGGGAAAATTTTGCCTTACAGATCTTTTAACATTCATTGAAAAGGTTACTGCTTATGTAGATGAGGGTAGGGTGTAGATTTGGTGTATCTGGATTTTCAGAAAGCATTTGACAAGGTGTCACATAAAAGGCTAGAAAAAAAATTAGCTCTATAGGTGTGGGGGATAAGTTAGCAAATTGGATAGAAGAGTGGCTGGATGGAAGAAAGCAGAGGGTTGTTACAAATGGAGTTCAGTCAAACTGGATTAATGTCACAAGTGGGGTACCTCAGGGCTCTGTCTTAGAACCATTGCTGTTTTTGATTTACATCAATGACATAGATGAAGGGATAATCAATAAATTACTTAAATTTGCAGATGATATTTAGGTCTTGGGTGTTGCTAGCTGTTAAGAGGATGCTGCTGATTTACAAAAGGATTTAGATCATTTAGTGAGTTGTGCAAATAAATGGCAGATGGTTTTTAATTATAATAATTGCATGTGGGTTATCATAATTTGAATTATAACTATAATTTTGATGGGAATAACCTTAATAATGTTATGAAGGAAAGGGATCTTGGTGTAATAGTCAATCAGTCTCTAAAGCCATCCAAGCAGTGTGCTGTTGCTGGTGGTAGGGCAAATAGGATTTTAGGTTGAATCTATAGAAATATTGAGTACAAGTCCAAAGAGGTTATACTTTCATTGTACAGGTCACTGGTTAGGCCACATTTGAAATATTGCATTCAGTCTTTGGCTCCTTACCTTAGGAAGGAAATTGAATTGTTGGAAAGGGTTACTAGAATGGTGCCTGGGATGGAGGGATTGTCATTCAATGGGAGGCTGAAGTCTCTTAAATTGTTTAAGCTTGAAAAAAGAAGAGTTAGGGGGGGATCTGATTGTGGTGTTTAAGATTGTAAAGGGAATTGAGTGTTGATGTATAATTTTTTTTATATTTAACAATGAGAATAGTAGGACTAGGGGACACAAATGAATTATGGTAAGGTAGGAGTCATCTTCAGCTAAGACAGTTTTATTTT